AAGACTACAGCCTTTAGTATAGGTTACACCTCAACATAAAGAAAACAAAAATCCTCACAATTGGACCAATAAGCAACATCATGATAAACAAAGAAAAGTTTCAAGTTGTCAAGGATTTCATTTTACTTGGATCCATAATCAATGCCCATGAGAAGAGCAGTCAAATCAAATGACCTATTGTATTGGGCAACTCTGCTACAAAAGCCCTCTTTAAAGTGTTAAATAAAAAGTAAAGATGTCACTTTGAGGACTAATGTGGGCTTGACCCAAGCCATGGTACAATGAATAAGGAAGACCAAATAATGGATGCCCTTGAATTGTGGTGTTGGAAAAGCATATTGAATATACCATACACTGCCAGAAGAACAAATAAATTTGTCTTGGAAGAAGTACAGCCAGAATGCTCCTTAGAAGGGGGGATAGTAAGACTTCATCTCACATATTTTGGACATGTTATCAGGAGGGGCCAGTCCCTGGAGAAGGACATCACGCTTGGTAAAGTAGAGGGTCATTGAAAGAGAGGAAGAGCCTCAATGAGATGGATTGACACAACAGTGTAATGATTGTGAGGATGGCACAAGACCAGGCAGTGTTTCATTTTGTTGTACATAAGGTCACTATGAGTCTTAATGGACTCAATGACACCTAACAACAACAACAACATACAGGGTTATATGTATATACATTTTACCTGTAGGGTAAATTCTTAAAAGTGGAATTACTTCCCAATGAGAGCAAAGATAGTGAATGTGGAGATCAAAGAAGAAAGAAGAAAAATGAACAGAACTAATACTCAAAGACATAACTGACGAAAATGTTCTTCAGTTGACATAAAAAAATAAAATCAGCAGATTGAAAGAAAAAAATGTGGTATTACTGAATCAAAGAGTGTCTGTATTTAAAAAATGTTTTTTGACAGAAAATTTCAAATCACTCTCCAGAGAGGTATATCAGCTTTCACTCCTGCCAGCAGTGTTGCTATAGGTGCCTGTTTCCCTATATTCTTTGCTGTGTGTGTGTGTGCACACACACATGTAACAATCAAATAGTGAATATCTGCCCCATGCCAGCCTTGGTTAGAGACATTTTCGCAGCTGACATCTCCAAAGCCAGAAGTCCTGTTGCCTTCCTCCCTCTCCTTCACCCCTACTCCCCAGAGCCAACCAGCCACCGCTCCTTGCCAGTGTTATCTCCTACTTCACATCCATCCGTTCTTCCTTTTTCACTTTTCACTCTGCCTCTGCCCCAGTTCAGGTCTTATCCTCCATCTTCAGGATCTTGGCTGTGGTCTTCCAATTGAGTCTTATGTCCCCTTACCACTGATTTAGCTTCCAGTGTGCAACTGCCAGGTATGAGCACTCCCTTCTCCTGCTCAGCATCCCTCAGGGGAGCCCATTGCCTGCAACAAAAAGGCTACCCCCTTAGTCTGGCTATAGATAGATGGATAGCTGCTGTTGAGTTGACTCCAATTCATGGCGACCTGTGTATAAATCCAGGGGTGGATTACCCAATAGGCAAGATAAGCACGGTGCTTACCTTACTTACCAGATGATCTGTTGTTGTTAGATGCCATTGAGTCAGTTCCGACTCACAGCGACCCCATGTACAACAGAACGAAACACTGCCCGGTCCTGCACCATCCTCATGATCGTTGTTATGCTTGAGCCCAATCCATCTCGTTAAGGATCTTCCTTTCCTTCACTGAACCTCCACTTTACCAAGCATGATGTCCTTCTCCAGGGACTGGTCCTTCCTGATAACATATCCAAAGTATGTGAGACAGTCTCGTCATCCTCGCTTCTAAGAAGCATCCTGGCTGTACTTTTTCCAAGACAGATTTATTCATTCTTTTGTCAATCCATGGTATATTCAGCATTCTTCACCAACACCATAACTCAAAGGCATCAATTCAGACTATCTATAGTGAACAATTTCACATTTTTTCACCACATCAAAGATTCTGCTTCTAGGTATGGCTGGCATCTCTCTCCCAACCCCACAGCACCTTCCTACAGAATCAAAGCCTCTTTTCAAATTTACAATCACTGAGAGGGGCGGATGACCTGGTAAGCAAGGTAAGCACAGGCTTACTTGTGCTTACTTACTAATCTGTAGTGAACAATTTCATATGGGTTTACCTAACTTTCACCCATGTGAAATTGTTCACTACTGATGATCTGGTAAGCAAGGTAAGCACCATGCTTACCTCGCCTATTGGATAATCTGCCCCTGTGTATAACAGAATGAAACATTTCCCAGTTCTGAATCATCCGCACCCTCACAGGCATGTTTGAGTACATTGTTGCGGTTATTGTGCCAATCCATCTAACTGAGGATCTCCCTTGCCCTTGCTGGCCCTGGGCTTCACCAAACACGATCTCCTCCTTCAGTGATTGATCCCTCCTAATAATATAACCCAAGCAAGCGAGTTGAATAATATTTTGCTGTGATCCATAAGCTTTTAAAAAATTATTATAATTTTTTGTGAAAATATAAACAGCAAAGGATATACCATGTCAACGAATTCTACATGTACAATTCAGTGACATTGTTTACATTCTTCAAGTTGTGTAACCATTCTCGCTATCCTTTTCCAAATTATTCAGCCACTCACCATTAACCTAAAGTCACTGACCCCTAAGCTTTCCATCTAACATTTCAAGATGCTGTTATCAATTTGATCCCACATAGATAAATCTTTGAGAGAGCAAAAAGCTCAAGGCAGACATAAATTACTAATTAGGCTAAACTACTGTTTGGTACATAAGGTTTTTATTGGTTGGTTTTTGGAAGTAGATCACCCGGCCTTTCTTGCTAGTCTGTCTTAGTTTGGAAGCCCCACTGAATCCTGTCTGCCATGGGTGACCCTGCTAGTATTTGAAATATCGGTAGCATAGTGTGTTAGTCATCTAGTGCTGCTATAACAGAAATACCACAAGTGGATGGCTTTAACAAAGAGAAATATATTTCCTCACAGTCTAGTAAGCTACAAGTCCAAATTTAGGGTGTCAGCTCCAGGAGAAGGCTTTCTTTCTCTGTTGGCTCTGGGGGAAGGTCCTTCTCGCCAGTCTTCCCCTGGACTAGGAGCTTCTCCGCACAGGAACCCTGGGTCCAAAGGTGCTCTGCTCCTGCTGCTTCTTTCTTGGTGGTATGAGGTTCCAAGCTCTCTACTTGCTTCCCTTTCCTTTTATCTCTTATAAGATAAAAGATGGTGCAGGCCACACCCCAGGGAAACTCCCTTTACATTGGGTCAGGGATGTGACCTGAGCAAAGGTGTTACATCCCACCCTAATCCTCTTTAACCACAGGCAGAGATTATGATTTATAACACATAGGAAAATCACAAAATGGAGGACAACCACATAATACCGGGAATCACAGCCTAACCAAGTTGACACATACTTTGGGGGGACACAATTTAATCCATGACACATAGCTTCCAGCATCATAGCGACACACAAACCACCACAGTATGATATACTGACGGATGGGTGGTGGTGGTCTGGATGTAGACCTGAATTATCTGGCCCCTCGTTTTCTGCAGCCTCATTTCCCATCCTCTCCCCTCCTCCTTGTGTACAGTTTCAACATTTCTGTCACCTCCCAAGGCACCCTTCGTGGTTACCTCTGAGCCTTTGCTCAAGACGCTTCCTCTTCTTGTTCAGGCCACCTTCATCTGAATCTCTCCTCCTTCCAACCTCCTCTGAGCCTCCCCTCTGGCAGAAAGTGTTTCCAGTACCCCTCTCCCAGTATCCCAGTCTGAGTTACGTGTCCTTCTGTTATCCTGTCTGCCTTTCACATCTGGAACTGCATTCACTGCATTTCAGGGTTAGGATCCCCTGTTCACATTTCTTTCTCCCATACTAGGGTGTGAGTTCCTTGAGAGAAGACACCACGGTGCAGTTATGTCATGTCCCGGTTCCTGGCACCATGCCTGGCACATAGTAAGCACCCGGCACATGACACGTGGTTAATTTGAACTCTATGTGGGTGGAGGTGTGTAGTTGGTGGTGGATAGGAAGGGCTGACTGTGGTCTCATTCAAAGTTGGGAGCCCTGACGCCTCCTCTGCGTTTCTGGGCCTCTGGGATGCAAATCTGGGGGTACCAGGGTTTGCACGGAGAGCAGGTAATAGAGCAGGACCCCGAGGTCATGGCTCAGGGAAGTCTGGACGTTCACTCTGACAGAAGCTCTTGTTGCCCAGCCCAGACGGGAGATGACGCCAAGCTGACTTGAGAGTGCTGCGGACTCCTCTTCCCAGGTCGGTTTCCTGGCTCTTTTCTACCTGGGAAGTCGTGTGTTGCGGAAGGAGGTGAGGTATCACACCGCAGATCCCACTCAGGGTGGCCTGAAAAGGACATATGGACAACTACAGCCGGCCAGAGGCCGACCTGGCGCTGGACTCCCAAGGTAAGGTAATGAGGGGTGGGGGAAGTAAAGGAGGTGGAGCTGGGGTTCCAGGAACCAACCGTTGGGAGGGGCAGATCATCCCTCGCCCCCTGCCTGTGTGTGTATGTCTGTCTGTGCGTTTGTGCTGGGGGCGGGGGGACACTCCAGAACCTCCCCACCCGCGAGGGAGGGAAGACTGATGCGGGCTCTCTTCTTTCCAGCCCTTGGGGTGAGGTTGGCGTCACGTGTGTGTGCCCAGGGGAGTAGGCAGGGGAGGCCCAGGCGCTGGGAGCCCAGGCGTCCGCGAGTACAGAGAGGCCTCTAGTGGCCACCGCGGGAAGCAAGAAAAGAGGGCCTGGGAGGGGCGGGCGGGCACTTCCTGCCAGGGCCCGGGGCTGCCGGGTTTTGCAAAGGAAGTGTTGCCAGGGCCGCAGGGGCGGGGGCAGGAAACGGGGCGGAGGCTCGAGCAAGGGTGCGGCCAGTGGGTCGGAGAGGCCAGAGTTGGGTGGTGGGTGAGGTAGAGAGTCCTGGGGGAACCGAGACCTAGCCCCCATGCCCGCCCAGCTCCTCCCGCCCCCCACCCCGCCTGCTTCAGAGGCCTAAGCCTGTGGACCTCTGCCCGCAGATGGCGCCTAGCCCTCGCTCGGCCCTCCCAGCCGGGGGTGGGAGCTCTACCTCTCAGGCCAGCCCACGTCAGCGCTGTTCAAAAGTTCTCTTGTGAGCGAACTCCGCTTCCCGGTTTAACTCTCCCACGCTCCCCACCTCGCCCCTGTGGGGCCCCCCCAGCCCCTGCCTGCTCGCTCGAGGGCACAGGGGCCTTCCCAAGACAGGCATCCTCCTCCTGCTTTATAGCTAACATTTACAGCCCTGTATGTCCCAGCATTTAATCAGCTCTGCAGCGGACTGCTTCTTGGAGTAATTTCCATTCATAGCGGCCCCCTGTGACAGGAGAACTGCTCCCATGGGGTTTTCTTGTAATCTTGACCCAACAAGATCGCCAGGTCTTTCTCCCACGGAGCTGCTAGGTGGATTCCAACTACAAACCTTTCGGTTAGCACTGGAGCTCTTAACCATGTGTGCCACCGGGGGGGTTGTATCTCCAAGGCTAAGCGAAATAATTTAATAGTAGAGCTGGGAGGCTCACTCAGATTCGATTCAAAGCTCACGCTTCTAACCCTGCAATGGTCACACTTGAAGCCCCTGGGACGCTGGGGCCGTCATCCCTCCCTCCACTGACACCTACCTCAGAGCGAGGCCTCAAGGGACACAGAGTATCACAAGTGTAAGAAGCATAATCACCCCTAGTCAACCCTGCCCCCAATAACCACAGAGGCAGGATTAGGGGGTCTGGCTTTCTCTTTAGTTTTCATCACACTGTGAGGCTCTCAGTCAGAGAAGGCACTTAAAATGGGTGGATCACCCCGACTCAGCCAACCATCCTCCCTCCGCCACCAGTTCTCTATGGGGAGGAGGGGACACAAGGACATCTCCACTCCACTTGCCATCCCCCTTGGCACTGGTAATGTGGGTCCCCTTAACCGTTAGGCCCTGGGAGAGCCCAAGGCCGTGACCTCCAGATACAGCACATAGCAGGAGGGGTTCCAGGTATCAGAGAGCCAGAAGGCAACGTGTCCCGGGAGCAGCCCCTAGCCAGCAGGGGGCAGGGCAGGGGGCTGCAGGGGGTGGGTTGGCACAAAGGAAGGGGGCAGCTTGGCCAGGCTTTCTGGAGACCCCCAAACCCCACAAAAAGGGTCCTACCTCCTGCAGATCCCCCAAAGGCACCGTGAAGTGTGGGGTGGGTGGGGGAGGCACCTATTAGGTGCTGTAGAGACTCCCCACTCAGCTGGTGGGCCTAGTACAGTGCTGGCATAGAGAAGGTGCTCGATACATGTTTTTTCAATGAATGAACAGAGCAAAGGGGGTGTGAGGGACAGAGGACAGGCCTGGGGGCCCTTGAGCCTGGCTTGTTTCATTCAGAAAACAGCGATTTAAAAAATGTAAAAATCCTTTCCCTCCCCCCCACCCCAATTTCTGGGCCCAGGAAAGGGACGAGGGAGGGGTGTCTCTACCCTGACCCTTCCATTTCCCCTCCCCTAAAAATCTATATACACATATACATATTTATATGGCACCACACGGGGGTCCTGCTACACCCCCACTCACAGCTGGGGGAGCCAAGCCGCAAGGGGGCCTGGTCATAGGTGGTTAAGGCACATGTGAGGGGCAGGGCTTGGGTGATGGGGAGAGCAGCCCTCGACCCTGGAGACGCTGGACTCTGGTCGTAGAAACAGACTTTGCTCCCTTCATAGATGGTAACATATGCCCCCTCCCAGGCAGCGACTAGTGGGGCAGCGTCAGTCCCCAGGGAGGCCGTGGGGGAGGTGGCGGGAGCGGTTTCTCCAGCCGGCCTGGATTGCAGTGACCTGTAGGTGGGTCCGGGCAAGAGCAGCTGCCCAGGATGGAGCCTTTGGAAAAGCTGGGCAGGAAGAGGGGCTCTACGCAAGGCACTTGTGTCCACTGTTCCCAGCTGGGGGCCAAGGCATGGGACAGCAGGGATCTTGCCCCCCAACAAAGCAGAGCCGGAAGGGGCCCAGGGGCCCAATTTGGCAGCAGAGAAACATGGCAGCATAGAGAGGAGAAAAAGGGAGCAGGACACAGGGCCCCCCCCCAGGCCCCCCAAGAAGGCGCAGGGGGTTCTAAGGCACTGACACGGGGACCCTGGGGCTCATCGCCCTCGATGCCGCCTGCTGCCCCCTCTGCAGCCGGGCCAGGCTGGTGGGGGAGGCACCTGCTCCCCCCTGGAACTGAGTGTGGTGGCCCATGGGTTTACTTAAGGAGCAGTGGGCGCGAAGTCTGAGCGTGAGGAGGTGTTGGCGTCAGTCAGGGGCAGGTCCTGGCCCCATCCGGCCTCACTAGCTCCCAGGCCTCGGCTGCCTGAGCACCGAGTACACGTCGTCCACACGGCTGAGTTGCTCGAAGAATGGAAGGAGGTCGTGGAGCTCCGTGTCACTCATGTTGTCAAACCACGAGGCAACTGGTACCTGGGGAGATGGGGATGGGGCAGTGAGGGGACCCAGTGGCCCTGGGCACAGAATGTCCAGGCCAGCCCTTAGTGCCTACTCTGGTCCTGGAAACCCCACCCCAGAGGGCTGGCTCCCCTCACCCACAGTCTTCAAATTTTTCTGACAGCATGTTTACAGCAAGGAACGTTTCATAAAAAAACACTTCACCTGACTATGTGCAAAGCACCCCAATGATTTCTATTCATTTCTTAAAAATCTCAATCAAAACCACTCAATTCTGTGCCCCGCTCACAGGTCGCCAACACGCAGTCTTGAAGATTGAAACTGCTACAGTGCCCGGCATGGGCCCAAGCCCTCTACACTGAAGAGTCACACAAACTACAAGCAGCAAGGGCAGGGGGACAAAGAGAGTGGACGACACGGGAAACTGAGGGCTGGGAAGAGGGAGGGGAAGAGAAGGCTCCAGGCCCTGGGCACGGCCCAGCTTGGCCCCTTTCTTTGGTCTTGGCCCATCTGCTGGCACTCACGGCGTTGTCTGGGTGGAAGACATAGGAGGCGGGCGAGTTGTCCAGGATGAGCACCCGCCGCAGGTCTCGGCCCAGCCGGCTCAGGTCCTTCACATAGTTCCCCCGGTGGAAGACGCATGACTCACGAAACAGCCGGGCCCGGAAGGCCCCCCACTTGTCCAGCAGGTCAGCTACTGGGTCTGCATACTGGGGGTGGAGAGGTGGGTCATCCTGGGACCACGGCGCAAGCTGAGGGTGGCGGGGAGGACCCCTTCAGAGGGCGGGGGCTCACCTTGGCGAGGCTGGCAGTGAACAGCACGCACTCGAAGAGCTCGCCCATTCGCTGCAGGAACTCGTCGACGTGGGGCCGCTTCAGCACATAGACCTGGGGGGTGGGTCAGTGAGGGGACTGCTGGCCACCAGGCGAGGGAGGTATGGGGGGTAGTTGAGGGCTGGGAGGGCAGTGGGTGGGTGGGAGGAGGCAGAGGGACACAGGAGGGAGGCTGGTCCCAGGGCCTACAGGCTCAACTTGGCCAGTCACTCCAACTGCCCCTGGGGACACCATCCACCCTCCCAAAAAATCAAAATGAACTTCCAACTCCTAGCTTCTGGCCCTTCTTCATGGGGAATCACTAATTCCTAGTCCCTCAGCCAAATGCAGGGGGCTAAGGGTAGCCCCCTCACCCCAGGGCTGCAGGGCACCGGCCCCCGAGCCAAGTAATGGAGAACAGGCTGGACAGCACACAACCTATCCTGAATTACTTGAACTGGGTCCCGGGCAGGGTGGGGCAAGGGGGCATGGCAAGGGGGCTGTGAGAAGAGGAACCCCCCACTCTGCAGGCCCAGGCATCCAGCAAGTTCCTGAGGCCTTGAGCAAGTCTGTGTGGCCTTGAGCAAGGCTCACACCCTCTCTGGGCCTCTGACATTTTGAGATCTATCAAAGCCCCATCCCAGGGCTCTCAGAATGGGTAGGAGGAGCCCGGGGTCTAGGAGACCAAGCTCAGCCCGCTCGCCTCCTCCACTGCCCCTCACCTGGTGGACCACTCCATCAATCTCCACGGGGATGATGAAGTCGGCATTGTTCACAGGCTGTGGGGGAAAACAGAGACTGGAGCTGGGCTGGGAGCCCCATAGGGTCGTGGCCCAGGCTAAGCTCCCCCTCCCAGGCCAGGGCAGAGACCCTGGGGCTGAGGGCTGCTGGGCAGGGCCCACCTTGAAGGAGCTGTGCACCAGGGTCTCGTCCAGGTCGATGACCACACAGATCTTGTCTGAGTCCTGGGCCTTGGCCTCGGGGAGCAGGTACTGGACTGGGGTCTGCTGTGGGGAGGCACAGGGCTGGCTCGGGCACCGCTCGCAAACCCCAATCATTTCTTAGTTATTCTTCCCTCCTCCACCCCTATTCTCAAGGAGACAGGGACAGTGGGGAGAGACCACCTTCTCCCCAGCTTTGCTCCTGCCAACTCTGGGACCTAGGCCTCACTTCCCCACCTGTAAAAACAAGGTAGAAGGGAAGTCTCTATGGACGGAGGAAATTCAGACGTTCTCTAGCTGAGGCGCCCTCACTGGGCAGCAGTCTTGAGACCAACGGAGCTAGTCTTGGGGTGATAGGAAGACTCCCACCTCTCATCCTCCCTCTAAATTATCTCCCAGGGCCTCCAGGTGGAGCCTAAAACATATGGTCAGGAGCCTTAACCCTGGCTGAGCCCAGGTGCCCCTGCAGCCTCCACCTGGCTGTCACACACCTTGGGGACAGCGCCGTTCTCCTCCACGAGCAGGGGCGCCCCACTGTGGGGGGGCAGGGCCTCAACATCGTCGCGGCACACGCAGCAGAAGAGTGAGTGAAGGATGCCCCGGCCGCGGGGCTTCTGGGAAGCCGTTGACTTCTGGTCACCTGAAGCAGGGAGGCCCAAGGTGGGGGCATGCACGCTGGCCTACAGAGATGTGCCTAGGTGCCCAGGTGTGAACCCCTGAGCTGGGAGGACCTGGCCTCCCCCTTTTATCAAGGGAGACACACTAAGGTGGTGGGGTCTGCGATGGTTGCCAGGCCCTACCTGAAATGCCCAAGCCAGGGGCCCCACCAGTATTTGCTCCAGGCTACCCCGTGGGCCCCCATACTTAGGTATGCACAAAGGCACTCACGTTAGGGGGTAGGATGCCTGAAGGAGGACTCATGGGGGTGCTCTTTCTTTTTTTCTTACAACCTGTATCACTGCTCAGGTGAAATACTGCTTAAGGACTGGACTCCCTGGGGATACCTCTTGCCACCCAGCCCACCTTACCTGAGCTGCCTCTGCTCAGGAGGCTCCCTGCCAAGGAGGGCCAGAACCTGGGACCTGTTGCCCACTCCCGCCTTCCCCTCATCTTCTCCACCCCTCCGTGTGTCCAAAGTCCTCACTGAGGCCTGGCCCAGAGGCAGGGGGCGGGGGCACAACACTGCAGTCGAGCAGCTTGGAGCCAGTGTCCCTGAGGCCATCTGTTGGCCCCACCTCCTCCGCCTCCACCCCACCCGGACCTCCAACTTGGAGTAACTGATTGACAGACCCACCCTCCCCCGGCACCGGGGCGGAGATGGACCCAAGCCGGAGGTGGGCAGACTTGGGGGGTGCTTCCAAGCCCCTAAGCTCAATACCGGGACAGGGACGGGCAGAGCCCCCACGCCGCGCCAGCCAGCCCCTGGGGCCCAGGCTGGGAAGGGCAGCTGCGTGGGTCCATGCGTGTTTCCACAGGCCCGGCGCCCACGGGCCTGCAGCCGGGACAGCGCGTGCCCCGCGCGGTGCAAGGCTCCCCCACGGCCGGCAGGCGCCCCTGGGAAGTACTGCTCTTCGGAGTAGCTCCGCGTCCCCACGCAAGACACGAAGTTTGTGGGGAGCTTGGCCGTGTGCTGGCGGGAGATCCTTCCAACCCTCCGTAGCCTGCTGTCACCTCAGCGCCCCCTCCCCCGACCGGACCACGGCCTAGAGGGGGCGGAGTCCCGGCGGGTGGCCTTAAGGCGCCCTCTTCAACCCCATCTCCCAGCCCCATTGGCGCCAATGTGGGGGGGGGGGCGCACTGCGGGGGAGAGGCGGGCTGGACTCCCTGGCACCTGCACCGCCAGCCCGGGAGACCCCGAAGAAGCCCTCTTTCACTACCCTGCCTCAGTTTCCCCACTTCAGGAAGATGTAAGCACCCAAAAGGCGCGAGGCCCCGCCCCGCGTCTCTGAGCCTTAGCAAGTTCGAACTCCCTCCACACTCCCTCCGGGCTGGGAGCTCCCGCCCGGAATCCCGTCTGGCTGAAGCGAGCGCCGGCGGCGACCCGGGGAGGGTCTCGGCCCCCTCCTCTTCCCTCCCACGGCGCCTGGCTCCGGCCCCCGCCCGCGGCCCCTGTACCTTTGCCCCGCAGCGGGCCCCGCGCCTCCTCCTTGCTGATCTGAGTAATGACGGCCGAGCTGTCCATGGGGCCGGGCGCGCTCCGCTCCGGCCGGACTCTGGCCCGGGTGCCCGGCCTCCCCCCCGGCTCGGGCCGGAATCGGGGCGCGGGGGGGAGGGGAGGGGTGGGAGGGAGGGATCCCCGCGAGCTTCGGAGGGGAGGGGAGCCAGGCTCAAGGGGGAGGGGGAGGGAGGGGGCGCGGAGGAAACTTTGTTACAACATGGAGTTTCCTCCCCGCGAGGCGGATGCAAACATGGAACCCGGGCGCCGTTTCAAGGCTCCCCCTTAAAAGGGCAACGGCTTCGGCGTGACCTGGACTCGGCCGCCGCTTTCATCACTTCTGGGGCCGGCGCGGCTCGGCGAGCGTGGAGGCGGGCCCGGCCGGGTTCCTGCCGCGCTCCAGGGGGTGTCGCCTCCGTTCCTGCCGCCCGCCCGCGGGGCTGAGCTTCTGCGGCTGCGTGGCAAGGCCAGCGCCCGGCCCACCGTTCCAGGGCGCGGAGCGTCCGGGGCTAGCGCCCGCCCCGCCCACGCTCGGGAGGGCGGTGCGGCCCCACCTTTGAGTATTCCGAGGGCCCGGGACAAGCCGCTTCTCAGTTTCCTCATCTGAGAAACAGTATCTCATCTGTAAAATGGGTTTTCTCTCCAGTCAGAAGGTCTAAGGGAAGCTATGAGCGCGCGCAGGCTCTTTGCTAGCTCCAAACAGAATAGTGCTCTTAACCAGACTGTGACCCTCACCCCCACCGCAATCTTGGGGCAAGCTAACCGGAGTCTGTAGGGCGGAATAGTTGCAGGTCCCTGCCCCAGGTTGTCCCCTGCCAACCTCTCCTTCTGGCGCTCCGCACGCCCAACCCTGGCGCCCACGTCCACCACTTCGCGTTCCCGCGAACAAGAGTGGAGCGCCCTGCTATCCCAGGTCCGTTCTGCGCGCTGTTACCCCCGCTTTGAGTTTTTCCCCATACGCCGAGCCAAATCCCATTGGCCTCGACCAAACGCCACCTTGTCCAAGCGGCCTTCCCAGGTCCTCTACCCTCCGCTTGCTGGTCCTCTGTGATTATGGGGGACAGGCTGTGTGCTGGGACTCGTTTCTGTTCCCAGGGACCCATCACAGTGGGAACTCCATCCATTCTGGACCCATGCCCGGCTGTGAGGGCCTCAGGCGTCAACTGCTCGCCTGAGGATTTTAGATACTCCGTCCTACCCGGCCTGGTTATGCGGGAGACATAACCTGACCAGCGTGGACCCTGCGTTTCCACGCGGATCCTTCACGCAGAAAGCTCCCGCGTTTTGCGCCGTGGGGTCTCAGGGTTTTGTCTGCTTGTTTATGAAGTGCCTTCCTTTCGTCATTACTATTCGGTATTCATTATTTAAAAAATAACCCTGAAGTTGAGCTTAGACAAACACGCCCCGACACTTCCTTCCCCGCCCGCCCTCGCGGCGGGGCGGGGCGGGCGCGTTCTATCCCGTCGGCAGCCCGAGCAAGCGCGGCGCCAAGTCCGCCAGGGCAGCGAGGGAGCCGACGGCCCGCGCCCTGCGACCCGGGAAGGGTGTGGGCCTGGGACTCCCAGGCCGGGCTCCTTCGACGGCACGCCTTCTGCATGACGGCGCCATCATTGCACTTTATCGTGACTACTCGCTATCCATGCAGCGAGCAGTTCGCCTGGAGCCCGCTCTAGCTGCGCCGTCTTTTCCCCTTATCTCATGGACTCCGCAGAACTACCCCCGCCTGATCACATTTTACAGAGGAGGAAACTGAGCTCAGAGGAGTGGCTGACCCAGGCCCATCAGAGGGGGCAGAGCCCCCTCCCCTCTGGCTGGCCCGAGCTTTATCTGGGGATGCCCCGGCCGCACTGACCCCAAAAGGAAATGTGTGTTGACAGGCCCAGTGAACCCCTGGCCTCGCCTCTGGCCTCAGCTTGCTTTCCTCTCCGAGGCCTCCTCTCCCTCTGTGAAGCAGGCTGGAGCCTGGCCCGCGGTCCCCGTGAGGGTCAGAGGAGCTGAGGGAGATGGGGTACTGAGCAGGATCGGGCCGCTGCCCCACTCCGCCGCCTCCCAAACGAAGCCACCCTGAGCTCACAGGATTCCTCACCTCCCGCCCCCAGCACTTGCCTATTGTCACCTCCAAGCCTTTGCTGGTGTGGGTCCCTCACCCTGGGATACCACCCCTCCAAGGCCGGGCGCAGGCGCATTTTTGGTCAGGTGCCCTGGAGTTACCTCTCTTCTCAGGCCAGGGTAGGCGTGGTAACAGAGGTGAATCTGGAAGGCCCCTACAGCCCAGGGTCTGGGGGGAGGGGAGGTCTTGTGGAGACAGAGAAGCTGGTGGAAGTGTTCTGTAGGGTGGGAGGGACAGTTCTTTGGGTTTCCACACTGAGCCCTCTGGGTCCACACCCAGAAGCTGGGAGTCGCTTTATCTACACAATTTATTTGAATCTGTTTTATTGATTTGTACCCTCAGGAGGAGCGAAGTCATGGGGACTGTGAATCAGGAAACCCGAGGTGCCTGGCTCCATCTGGCTACTGTGGACAAGTGTGTCTCTTCCACCTAGCACCTCAGCTTCCCCATCTGCCAAATGGGGTAAGGACCCAGTCCCAGGGGAGGAGCAGGAGACTATGCAGAAAGGCAGGGAGCCCTGGCAGAAGTGTCAAGGTGCCAAGGCCACTCCCAGCCTGAGGGGCTGCTGAATGGAGCTTGGGAAAGGGAAACTGAGCAACCTCTCCCAAGTTAGTTCTGTACTTGGGGGCTGGGAAGACCAGAGCTACTATATGGCTGGGGCAGTCCCTTGTGGGGCCTCTCTGTACAGAATGACTGACCTTGGACTGCCCTCAGCACTAATCCCCTTTGCACCTTAGCTGGCCCTCTGGTTCTCTCCCCACCTTCTTTGTCCCCAGGTTCTGAGTCCCAGGCTTAACCAGTCTGTGATTAGCCTGCTCTTATGGGGACTTTATAAGCTGGGACCCTACTCCCCTCTCCCCCACCAAGATCTAAGAATTCCCAATGTTTCTTGTCTCTACCCTTTTGCACACCGGACCCCATTCCTGGCAGGCTTGTGCCCCCTGGCTGCCTCCCCCTCATTCCTATTCAGCTTTGGAAATCCTACCCAGGAGCTACCGTCCCAGACTCTGCTCAGCTGTGTCCTATACACCCTCCTGCCTCATCCCATCCCACTTTATAGAGCTTTGTTGTTGCTGTCATTGTTTACTTAGCTGTCTCCCCACTGGAGCGTGAACTCCGTGAGAGCTGCTATCGCCTTTACTTCAGGACGTTCTCTTTCTCCTCCACGTCTAGCACAGAGCGGGTCTGGCACATGAGGCTGGCACCCAATTAATCCTTAATGAGCTGACCAGAGAGGTGTGCAGGGAGTACAGCTAGGGTACCCTCAGGGAGCTGGAGAGGGAACTGGGAAATCCCTTTCTCCACTAACCCCCCCCCCCCCCGCCACCCCGCCATCCATCCCCTCCGTCAGCTTGCATGGGCCCCATCTTTTGCACGGCCACGCCCAGAGAACGAGGGTGGGCGACCCTTCTGCCCAGCAGCCCAGGCACCCTCTACCGCTGCTGCCCTGGGTGAAAACAAACCAGTCCTATCCCTTCCCTTCATGCGGGCCCCACTGGCACCGTCGCCCTTTTAAGAAAGAGGCAATTCCTCTCATAAACAAGCGCCCCAACCTGAGCGCAGAATCGTGCCACCCGCCCGGCCATACCCCCGAGAATTCGGACGGTGCTTCCGGACCAACGCCTGCCCCAGGCTCAACACGGGGGAAGGGGCCTTGGGCCCCTCGTAGCCGCGGCTCTCAGCAGCTCTGGGGCTAGGATTCAACGGACTGGAGAAGACAGGAGGAGGGATCTAGGGGAGCCTAGAAACGGCCCAGGGAGCGTCTGTAAAGAGCAGCCCCTGCTCAGGGCGAAAGGGCATCCGCTTCCTCCCAGGGGCAGAGTGGCTTGCCCGCCCACACAGCTTCCCCCTACCTGTGCTCTGGGGCGAATTCCTGCACCCCAGGGCGCTTAAACCCGCCCGGCCCACCAGGCCGGGAGGGGTGTGGCCAAAGCTGGGAGTGCCTGCGCTCAGGACTGTCCCTGCCCCTAGGGGGAGCTGGGAGTCAGCGCCCAGGGAGCCTTAACAGCGCCGCGTGGGAGTCCTGGCCACCCAGTCCCCTGGGGAAATGGCTAATGAATTGGGCCTCAGAGGCACGGACTCTTGGGTTCTTTATGACCTGGTGCTTGTAGAGGGGAGAACCGCGCCTCCACTTCACTACCTGGAAAATGGTTTGCAGGCAGGACACTAAGGCTGAGGCCACCCAGCAGAAGGTAGAAGCAAGCCAGACGGAGTAGGGGGAGGGGGATTGCGTGCCCCCTCCCTGGCTTCCATTCCTCTGCTCTTTTGGATGAGAAGTCAACTAACATTTGTTTAGCATTCATCAGACTATTTTAAGTGTCAGTTTTAAAGCTGGGTCAGTTTGTCGGGATCACTACTATAGGTACTCAATAAATATTTTTGAATGATTTTTTTTTTAAAACCCCAAGTGCCAGGCGCTGTGGTAAAGTGCTTTACATCCATTGCAAGGTGGTTGTTGTTCCCATTTTACAGATGAGGACAGTGAGACCCAGAGTTAATCACTTGTCTGGGCTATGAAGCAGCAGGTCCCTTTATGGAACCCTGTCTCCAAAATTCTCCGCTCCATCTTGCTGGCTCCGTGCCCCTGCTGCCCTATTCAGCAGGCCAGATGTCTGCCCCCATGTGGGGGCTCATCCAGCTGTCCCTCCCTTCTCCTGCTCCTCATCAGGGAGCCCATACAGGAAGTGTTGGTGGGAGCTGTGAGCCAGGAAGGTGGCTCCGTGGGCAATGCAACAGGTCCAGACCTGGGGGAGGAGGTGGCCATGAATGGAGGAGGGGATATTTGGGGAAGCCCGGGTTAGTCGCCCCCACATCCCCTCCATCTGTTGCCTCCTCTCCTTGCTTCCCCAATGCCCAAGGCACCCCTTGGCCCCACAGTACCAGGTAGATGGTAAGTCCCAGGTAGACTGCGGCCAGCAGGACTACAAGACCAAAGTAGGCAGGGTGGGGGAGACTGGGCAGGTAGCTGACCACGAAGTAGAGATTGATGGCACAGATTAGCGCCATGATGGAGGAAGTGATGACCTTGCTCAGCCTGGGGGACAGAAGGGGATCTCAGGACTGGTTGAATGCAGTTGGACCACCCACCTCTTCTCCTTCTCCTCCTCCTCTGGTGCCCAAAGCCAGCTAGGGGAGGGGAGGAGATACACAGAGCCTGATCCTCTGACCTGTGGGGCCTGGAGCAGACCCCTAACCTACCTCCTCCCTCCATGGCCCTCTGGGCCCTCCAGGCTCCACACTGGCAGGATTTTGTAAGTGTGTAGTCTGAGGTGAGGGTGAGGAGCATACATTCTTCAGAAACAGCATACCCACTACCCCCACTTCGAGTCCTTACTCCACTACTTGCTAGCTGTATGACCCTGGGCAAGCTGCTTAACCTCTCTGAGCCTCAGTCTCCTCATCTGAATAATGATAATAATGGGAGATCTTACCTCTGGGTGTTCTGTTAGGATTAAAGATGGTAATGCAAATCCAGTGCTTGGCATGGGGAGTACTCACCAGCCATTGGCAAACTCGTGCATGCAGGCAGGCATGCTGGTGAACGTGAGGATGGGCAGCACAGCAAAGGGAAGCTGGTGAGAGCAGGGAATATAGGCTTAGGTGCCTGCCCTTAGATTACAGCCAGGAGGGGAGGAGTGGGCGGGACTCCAGGCCTCCTCTGACGGCCCCATTGGGAGCCCTTGGGCAAGTCCCCTAACCACTCTGAGCCTCAGTTTCCCCATTTCTATGCCTTCCAAATGGAGCCCTGGTGGTGTAGTGGTTAAGCCTTTGGCTGCTAACCAAAAAGTCGGCAGTTCCAATCCACCAGCCGCTCCTTGGAAACCCTATGGGGCAATCCTACTCTGTCATCATATAGGATCGCTATGAGTCAGAATCAACTAGACAACAATGGGTAATAGATTTTTATGCCTTCCAAAGTTGGGAGGCTCAAAAGCAGATTAAAGTGTTTAGGGGCTCTGGTACAGGCAGTGTGAGTTGGAATCCCAGCTCTGCCACTAGTCACTTATGGTAGTGTATCAGGGTAGTGGTGGTTCCTACCTCCCTGGGCGGCTGTGGGGATTATATGACCCACGGAGGCTCACACAGATTTCTGTGGTTCCCGTTTAGCTCAGCACCGAGGTGGGAGGGAGGCCCGGCTCACCAGCAGGCTCTGCAGCACGTTGAGCAGGTCGTTGAGGCCTGACAGATCCCTCAGATCCCTGAAGACGGCCACTAGCACGGTGGGCAGGATGGCGCAGGAGCGGGTGAGGAGGACGCGGGCAAAGCGAGACCACCGCAGCCTCAGGAAGCCCTGGGGCGTAGGTAGGGTGGGCAACTTGGTGAGGGGAGGCAGGGCTGGGGATTTCAGGGGAGAAACTTCCTGGCGTCCCTCAGCCCACCTCATGCCTCCAAGGACCCCTCTGTTTTTCTGTCTGTGAAGTGGGGGGCAGCTCTGTCTCTAGTTGGCGGAGAGGGGACCGGTGGAGAGTGATGGTGAGGTCTCCCTCCCACGGCCGACAGCTGAAGACTACACAGGTTTGGGAAAAGGGTCTTGTTAGTCGCCTCACTTCTCTGAACCTCAATTTTATCATCTGTAAAGTGGGGTTTATAATGGCACCCTCGGGGCTGCTTTAAGGGCCAAGGAAGCCCGCTGTTGGCGGCCCTTGTGTGCCTGTTGTCCTCAGACCCCGGCCTGCCCCCGGTCCCACCTCCATCACGAACTGTCCCGCGTAGGTGCCCGTCATGGTGGAGCTCTGCCCTGCAGCCAGCAGACCCACGGCCCAGATGTAGAGGGCTGCGGGGCCGAAGAGGCAACCCAGGATCACGCCCTGGACGGGAGGTGTGTGGTCAGATTCGTGGCCCCGCCCCTTCCCGCGCAGGCTCCGCCCCGGGTGGGCGGGGCGAGGAGCAGCGCCGGTTCTCGCCCTTGCCCGCCCACCTTGCTCAGTGCTCACCCCTTGGTAGATGTCCACCGCCACGGTAAGGTTGTTCTGGGGGAAGATCTTGGCGTAGTCGTGGAGGCTGCTGTTGGCACAGACGTTGAACTGCGGGCGCCGGGACAGGAGGAGGGAAATGTGAAGCGCACACTCAGTCATGTGAAATCAGACCGCCTTGCCTTGACGGGGGTCGAAAATGGCGGCCTGCAGGCTGACTTTGCCCAGACGTATTTTGGCTAACAAATTATATCTGTGTATATATATATGTGTATATATAAAAAAAAAAAAATCAAACCCGTTGCCGTCGAGTCCATTCTAGCTTATAGCGACCCTATAGGACAGAGTAGAACTGCCCCAATAGGGTTTCCAGTGAGCGGCTGGTGGATTCAAACTGCCGACCTTTTGGTTAGCAGCCATGGCTCTTAACCACTGCGCCACCAGGGCTCCATGTATATATACGTGTATATATGTATGTATGTATGCTGCTCCATGTATACATATGTGTGTGTATGTATGTATGTATGCATGCGGAGCCCTGGTGGCACAGTGGTTAAGAGATCAGCTGCTAACCAAAAGGTCGCAGTTCGAATCCACCAGGCGCTCCTTGGAAACTCTATGGGGCAGTTCTACTCTGTCCTATAGGGTCGCTGTGAGTGGGAATCGACTCGATGGCAATGGGTTTGGTTTCATACATGTATGTATATATGGGGGCCCTGGTGGCGAAGTGGTTAAGAGCTTGGCTGCTAATCAAAATGTTGGCAGTTCAAATCCACCAGCTGCTCCTTAGAAACCTATGGGGCAGTTCTACTCAGTACTATTGGGTCACTATGAGTTGGAATTGACTCAGTGGCAATGGGTTTTATGTATATATATATATATATATACAAACACACATACATATATATACTTTTTTTAATGTGACTTTCCTGCCCACATTTAAAATTGAGACGATTCAAATGAGAGCCTGGATCTCCAGCTTCTCTAGGATTCAGAAGAGCTGCCATTACCACAGAGAGACTGGAAGTGACTCAGGCTGCCCCACAGTCCCCTCTTCTCACACTGACCCACTTCCCACACCCCTTCAACCGGCCTGGCCCTGAGCACACGGGTTTGCAACCCACTATTCAGACCGCTCTCCTTGTGCTGAGGAGCAGAGTGAGACTCAGGGAGGATCAGTGACCTCCCATGGTCACTCAGCAGAGCAGTCCTCCCCACCAGTGCTCAGCACACAATAAGCACCTAACACTGGCCAGCAGTTGTACAGCCCAAATCCTAGAGAGCCAGGGAAAAATGTCACAACAGAAATGTCACCTCCTCCAAGAGGCCTTTCCTAACTACCTGGGCTAATGCAACCCTTTCCCTCCAATTCTATTTATCACCCTCTTTATTTCCTTCCCAGGATTTTTCACTCTCTATACTTCTCTTGTGTATTTGTTAACTTGTTTGCCGTCTGCTCGCCTCCTCCTGATTTAAGCTCCTAGAGGGTGTCTGTATCACTGACTGCGGCATCTCTAGGGTCTAGGACACCACCTGGTATTAACATGCTCAGTAGTATTTGCTGAGTGAATGACGGTTTAGTTGCTGACAATGAAGATTATCAGGAGAGGGGACTCAGAGAAGAACCCCACTGCCTGCACCTTCATAACACCAGGCTCGTGCACGGACACCCCCTCCACCTAGAAGCCCTCACTGTGGTTTCAAATCCTGCCCACCCGTCAAGGTGCAGCTGGAATGCTGGACCCTTCCGCTTGCTCCCTTGGATGGCAGTGCCTTGCAGCCCCCTGGTGTGGGCATGCCCCTCTAAGAGCCTGCCTGGGGTTGGGGTTAGCATGAGGCAGTGATGTCTCCACAGTAGGGTGGGAGGGGCTCTGAGTTGGAAACCAAGTCACATCTCCCTCCCCACACCAGTGCCTGGAGTGCAGGGCAGAACATTGCCTGAGTTCCCAGCAGAGCTTGCAAGGGGGGTGTGGGGAGGGAGGCACGGGTGTGGGCGTGTGGGGAAAGTTTGCCTCACCGCAGCCTGGTTGGTTTGGTGGTAGAAGGCCTGCCCAAAGACGGCCACAACGAAGAGGTTGATTAAGAAGGAGACAAACAGCGCAATGGTGGCCTCGATTAGAAAGTACATGTTGGCTTCTCGGATGTCTGCCCGGCGGGTGCGGTCAATCTCTCGAGACTGTGGAGGGCAGAGAGGAGAGGAGGGCCATAGCTGATCAGAGCCACCCCAGTGTCACCCTCACCTCTGCCTGTGTTCCCCCCAGAGCTTCAAACCAGTTTGAACCCCTGCTGAGAATTTGCATTTCCACCCCAGATATACTGAATTAGAATCTACCGTTTAGCAAGATCCCCAGGTGATTCTTCTGTATAATAAATTTTTAGTACCACTGCTCTACTAGTGGTTCTCAGAATTGGTCCCTAACCATCAGCATTAGCATCGCCTGGGAACTTGTTAGAAATTCAAATTCTCAGCAGGGAACTTGTTAGAAAGGCAAATTCTCAGCAAGGAACTTGTTATAAACGCAAATTCTCAGCAGGGAACTTGTTATAAAGGTAAATTCTCAGCTGGGAACTTGTTAGAAATGCAAATTCTCAGCAGGGGTTCGAACAAGAAGGAACAGGTTCGAAGCCCTGGTTCTCCCAAACTCCAGTTCCTTCTAAAGCCCCCTACATGGCAGTCTGGGACAAGCTGGTCGGCGGACCCCCTTCTCACATCTCTGCCCTTGTCACAGGGGCCAGGTCTGAAGTGACCAACTGTGTGAATGAAGGAAGGCTGGCCTTCCAGGCCTGTGTGACCTGGTCCCTGCCCTCTCTACCCTCAGCCCCTGACACTCTCCTCTCATTCACCATGCCCTCAAACATGCCCAGTTTATTTCTGCCTCAGGGCCTTTGCACTTACTGCTCCATTGCTTGGAATATCTTCTCCCTGGATCTTCCTTCCCATCCTTCAAGTCTCAAAGGTCACCTCCTTAGACAGGCCTGTCTTAACTATCCTTTCTAAAGTAGCCCTTTCCTCAATCCCTCCGGTCCCTCTCACACTTCTTTCATTTCCTTCAGAGCACCTCTGGCTACCCATCATTCTTTCTTTTCTTTGTTTACTTGCTCGTCCTCAGTCTCCCCCACTAGAATGCAAACGCCAGGAGGGCAGGAGCCTGGTCTTCTTTTTCATCACTGACACCTCAGCGTTACTATATGCTGAATAAATAGAGAATGATTCACTTCCTACCTAAAACCATCAATGGGCGGGGCTCCAGGCTCGGAGGCGGGGCCCAGTGAGGCACCTAAGGATCCGGGCATCTCTCCCTCCCCTGCCGTCTGCTCACCTTAACCAGGGCGGAGTGCAGGTAGATGTTGTGGGGCATGATGATGGCGCCCACGATGCCCACGGCCTGCAGCAGCTCCGTCTGGCCGCAGCCCGGACACGAGGGCAGGAACAGGTCCCGAAGAAGCGCTCCCTGATCAGGACGTGCCACCACATACTGTGGGGAGGAGCCTCATCAGGCCGAGCCCCCAAAACCGCCCCTGCCCAGCCATCACTGCCGTCACCAATTCCCATGCGCCCCTCCCACCCACTCCTCCAGCCCTGGGCGGAGCAGCTCCTGGACCTGGCTAAGGGCTGCTCCCCCCTCTCAGGCTATGCAGGGGGACAAGAGAGGGGTAGCCTTGGGGGTGCTTGCATCTCTAGCTTCCCACCTCATAGCCGAAGGTCAAGGCCATAATGGTAATGAGGAATCCAAAAAAGGCTTCCAGCTTCCTCAACCCTAGAGGGAGGGCAAAGCGGCAGAACAAACAATAGTAACAACTTAACTATTAATGGCTAATATTTTTGAGCACTTTGTACCAGGCACTGTGCCAGTATTTAATATATATTACCTCATTGCATCCTCACAACAGCCCTATGATGTCTGTGCTATTATTATCCCCAGGTTATAGATGACACTGAAGTCTAAGAAACGTTCCAAGCTGGAGTGACTGAACTCAAATTTGAACCTAGGCGGTCTTAATCCTGAGCCCTTCTCCCAGCACAGACCAGCAAAACTCTTACATTAACATGCCCCTGCGGCCCAGCTCCCAGCCCCCCAGACCATTCTGCTAGGAGAACGAGGTGCATGCCCACCGTAGTTATCGAGGAAAAGGAAAAAGAAGGTGTCCACGATGGTGATAAGGACGCCACCCCAGAGTGGAATTCTGAAACCAGAGTGGCCTGGGTCAGCCCAGCCTGGTCCAGCGGCCTGGACTTCCCAGCTTCAGGGCTGGAGACTGTGGAATATGGCCTCCTGGGGGCAGAGACCAAAGAGGCCCCAGGCAGCTAAGGAAGAGGGGCATGGGAGTGTACTGGGAATGGGGAAAACGGAGAAGAATACTCTAGGAAGGGCAGAGCTGATTGGGGGGACCCAGAATAGCAGGGAGCTTGGGACTGAGGTCCTGAAGTCTGCACAACTCACGTGCTGTGTGACTTCAGACAAGTCACTTTACATTTCTGGGCCTCAGTTTCCCCATCAGGCAAATAGGGCAACAGCCCTATGTCAGAGGGGACTACAGGACAAAATGGACTCAGGGAGGTTCAAGGGCTGGGGCAGAAGTTGTAGCTGCATAGCTGGGGCCCCTTGGGGCAGTACCGTCCAGCTGAGAGCAGACTGAATGCAATAGCTGTGCCGATGACCTCCTGCATGTCCGAGCCCACAATGGCTAGCTCAATGGTCAGCCAGAGGAGGATGCGGGGCACCTGTGGGGCAGGAGGTAGCCATCATGGAGGCTATGTCAGCTATCCGTCTGCTGTCTCTCAGCCCTACTCTCCCCTTTCAACACTCAACGCTGCACTGCTGGGCTAGAAGACTGCAAACTACATTTGCAAAACAACCTTGCCAGCTGCTGCCAGCTAGGTTCTGTAGGAGACACTTGATGGGGGATTGAAAGGCAGGGAGAAACCATTTTTCGCTTGCTCTGGTGGTATTTCCGGCAGTGGTACTGGCAATGGCAGCAGCAACATTGGTGGCCATTTCAGCAGTGGTGGCAGTGGTGGCTTCCAGAAGCTCCGCAGTAAATGACGCTCGTGGGCCACTGCCCAGGAGTATAGCAGCTTCCTGATTTCTGGGTAACACTCCTTCTCTTGTTCCTACAGTCCTTCCAACAAGTTTGCAACTAAATGCCTGCATTACATGCCTTTGAAATATCTAGTGGTGTAATTTCTGTTTTCCTGAGTAGACACTGACTGATATGATGCCCACCCCACCCAGTGACCATCCCCTAGTTGACATCTACCTATTTTTCACCTTGGACAAGTCACTCTCCCAGGTTTCAATTTCCTCTTCTGTAAAATGAGTGTGGTGTCACTAATGTCCCTCTCAGGCTATGAGCTATTAGTTTGAGCCTCAGTCTTCTTATCGATTAAATGGACTTGTGACACCCATATAAGATGTTGGATTTATTTGATCATGGAAGCTACAAATGGCTGTTCAGGGTTTGGAGCTTGTGGGTGTTTCCCGGCTGGATCCACCAACCTTACCTTAGGGTAGTAGAGGTGGCAGATCTCGCCCAAGTCCTTGCCTGTCACCACGCCCAGCCGGGCTGCCAGTCGCTGGCAGAGCAAGCCCAACACCGTGGCCCACATCAGTACCCAGAGCAGCTGTGGGGAAGGCAGGGAGCCCTTCAGCCGGAGGGGCCAGTTTTAGGTAGCCCCAGCCGGTGGTACTGTCTAATAAGGACATTCCTCGGGAGAGGGTGGAGAGATGGAGCGAGAAGACCACCCCCAACACAGACACCCCACCCTCTGCAGGGTCTGCCTGGGGATCCTTTTCTGGCCCATCTTGAACTTAACGCCTTCTCCCTGGAACTCCATCCATGCAGGCCACCCTGGAGAAATGAGCAAACTGAGGGTCTCCACACACTGTACCCCCATGACCCCCCACCCCAACCTCCAGGCCCCAACTAAGTCACTTTGAATCCAGCCACGGCACCAGCCTGCAGATCCGACTCGATGTTTCCTGGGTCCAGGAAAGCGATGCTCATGAGAAAGCCAGGCCCTGTGAAGGCCCATAGCTTCCGCAGGCTGAACGTGCCCTGGAAGGGAGGAGGATGAGGGTCCTAGATATGGGTGGGCAGCAGCTGGCCCTGGGCAGCCCCCTGTTGAGCCCTGGCAGGCTCACCAGCCCAGGCTGCCCAGCCTGGCCCTTCATTCTGCGTTCCTAGGGCTGCCACCCTGGAGGACAGGGAGGCCGGGGGGGTAGGGGGAACTGCAGGATTAGCTGAGTCACAATGGATCCCCTTTCTGATCTGTCACATTCTGCAGCCCGCACCTATCAGCCCGCCTCTCGAAGGCCCTGACTAAGCAGAACCTCAGAGCTCCAAGAGGGGCCTTTTCAGGGGCCAGGCTTCCCTGTTCCATCTCCCCCTCCTGCCCCTTCTCAGACCACAGGGCCTCCTCTCTGGAGTCCACTGAGGCTAGGGGTCTCCCCATCCCCACCCTGGCCCAGGACGTAGGCATCTACCAAGGCTTCTGGAAGAGCAGGGTGACAGAGTCACAGATGCCAGCCTGCTGCCTCATAAGTTTCTCCTTATACCCTTGTCTGGGTTCTTTCTTTTGATGCTAAAACAAATACTTGAACCTCCAATCTTAATTCACCCCAGGCCCCTTTCCCTTCACAGGAAAGCTGAGATTCATTCAGAAAGCCATTTGATAATTTTTAGACAACTATTAAGCAGCTATCCCTAAGTGCTGGGGACAGAGGGAGAAGGGGGCAGTTACTACCGTCTGTCACTGCTGCTCAGAGCTGGAAGGGACTTGCTGTGGTCACAAGGAGATGCCCCTTTTCCCCCACCCTATGAGCTCCCGTATGGTCCCACTGATCCTGAAAGACCCCAAGAAATTTCCAGCATTCCCACCGGTTCTGCATCTGGAATGGAGATCTTCTCACTCAGGTAGGTCTGTCTGGGAGGCACTTGCTGCGGCCCTGGGCTGGATGGGCTGGAGATGGAGCCATAGCTGGGCTTGCTCAGCCTTTGGGGACCCCTGTCACCTGCAAGGGGTCCCATGAGGCATGGTGAGTGACCTGCCTCTTTCTGGAGCTTCCAGGTTAAAGCCATCTGCTATAGTCCCCTCCTCCTCCTAGCAAAGTGCGGAAATCAAGTTCCAACTAAATAGGGGGCCCTTACCCCCATCCTGAGTCCATCACCTCCATCCCTCAACCAAAAGTTCCAGCAGCAGATTGGGGTGGGATGGGGAGTAGGTGTTCCAAAATTACACTCTCCTCCCCTGTGAGTGCAGAGACCCCCAAATCCAGATCTCTGCCTCCACAGAAGATGGGGAGAGAGACACTGGGCTCTGTGGTGGGCAAACTGAGGCCACCATGACTGCCCCTTAGCCCCAATCCCTGCCTCCTGCAGCCAAGGAAGCCGGGGGGCTCTGAGATCAGGCAAGGAAAGCTGTGCGCTTGGGAAAGAGAAGAACCCAACCCCAGGCTGGTGTCCAGAATTGTGGCCTAGACCAGGACTGCTGTGGGGGACCAGGGGCTTCTTTTCCTCCCCGAGTCTCCCCCAGACCTGGGCTCCAACCCAGTTCTGGAGGTGGCTGCTCACCTGTCATGAGTATGGCAGGCCTCAGGAACACTCTGTGTGTGGGCGATGTGCTGGGCTGCTTCTGTGCCTGGGCTCCCTCTCTGTGCATCAGCAAATGAGTGCGGGAGCGCTTGCTGTCTCACCCCTCCTCAGCTAGGCACAGACAGCCCCTCCCCATCTCTTACATCACCCCCAAACGCAAACATGGGGCATTGTGAAACCCCTTCCAAAGGGAGAAGTGGCCAGCTCTGGCGGAAGGGTCTGGTTGCCCACAGTGTGGACTTTTGTTCCCACGCCGCAGCCTGTGCCTCACTATACCTCTGGCCCCCTTTCAGGCACCTTGTGTTCTGTGACTCTCAAGATAGCAATGATTTTAGTCACTTCTTGCCCCTTGGGCATTATGTCCAGATCGTATGACTAGCACCACCACCGCCGCACACACATCCATGCAGTCAGGCCCTTCTTCTACTCTTTAATCCGGAGCCCCAAGGCCATAAGTTGGCCTAATGGGAAGGAGTCCTCATGGCTACCTAGGCCTCAGTTTCCCATTGAGTGACTCAGAGGAAAATGACTTTCCAGGCACTGAAGATTCAGGCCAAGAATATCCTCAGAAGAAGGGGGCACTGGGGACGGAGTCAGGACACTGGGATTCTCATCCTGGTTCTGCCACTGATTCACTCGACATTGTAGCCAGGTCATAGCCCTTGTCTGGGCTTCAGTTTCTTCCGTTAAACGAAGGGTCAAGACTAGCTAAGGAGTAAAAAGTTCAGGTGCCTGAACAGGCCAGCCAGGTAAGATAAATGATGAGACAGGTTGGGAGTAAGGAAAACAATGCCAGCTCAGTGCTGAGTGGCATAGGATGCTAGGCCTCACTGTTGGAGGATAAGAAGGAGTGGTGGAGACTGTAGCAAAACCACTATCTGAAGAGGGCGGTGCCTAAAAGTTCCAGCCAATTGTTGGCATGTGGGAACATGTGTCCATTGCCACCATATCTTCTGATTTGTCAAGGATGCTGGGAGTTTGGGATTTGATGTGACATAGGATTTTTTAATATTAGGCTCTAAAAAATGGAAAATACTGTGCAGTCCAAACAAAACACATCTATGGGCTGGATTCCATTTGAGGATTATCAGTTTGAAACTGCAGGTTAAATCATGAGCAAGACCCAACCAGCTCTCAATTTCTTCTCGTTAGCTCCTGTACTCCAACCTTCCCTCTCTCGTGGTCTTCTCCCTGGCTCCCAGGCTCCCTGGCTCCCAGGCTCACTCATGCCACCTATCCCAATCCTGTGGCCTTCCTTTTCTGCCAAGAATATTGAAAACCTGAATTGTCATGATGTTTCCGACCCCAATTCCTGAGGCCTCAGGACCCAGAGCAAATAGGAATAGTTTCTCACACCCAGACTTGATCTGGGGTATGATTTATCCCCACACTGAGTCAGGAACTTTGGATAAGTTTTGGGAGCCCAGGAGACGGAGAGGTGGCAGATTTCTTGGAGTGCCCATGGGTGAGGGAGGCTGGAGGGGTTGGAGAGGTGGGGGAGTGGGAAAGAGGATGAATAGTGGTTCCGGAGAGGAGACAGCAGAGTCATCGTTTGTCACTGTGCAACCCTATTGCTTAATGTACCATCACCATCCCTGACATCTGGAGTCTGCACACATTTCCCAGTCACTATCTTGGGCTCTATGAGCCAGAATCGACTCAACGGCAATGGGTTTGGGTTTTTTTTTTTTTTTTTATAAGGGGCTTGCTTGTTC